ACCTACATACAGCAACAGTGTTTTGTGTTGTGTAGGCTCCTAGGATGTAAGTAATGGGCCCCCAATCATTTTAAGTTTGAGCTTAATAATTATTTCACTGTTTCTTAAGTATTTCACTATTAATATACTTCTTAATTATATTTCAGTTCAGCAATTACTTTGATAAAATACATATTTTGTTATGTGCCAATGGCTTTAGATACCTATTAGGTCCACAAATTACCATATAGCATATATTCAGCACAAAAAAACAGCGACAATTTGTTGTTGACAAAGGACAGCTGGACATATAAAGGGCCACTTTACCTTCAGTAGCTTAGGGCCTCAACAAACCTAAATCTGGCCCTGCGCTCTGGGAACAAATTTTTTCGCTGAAGAGGAGGCTACAAATGCTCTAAATAAATAAAAATAAATAAAAGCAAGGGTTTCCTTTTACAGCTGTGAAAAAAGCAAATTCCACGCTAGGGATCATTAGGAAAGGAATTGGAACTACAGTACCATAAACCCTTTACACAAATCTCTGGTGCAACCGCATTCGGAGTAATGTGGACAGTCCTGGTCGCCTCGGAAAGGATATTGCAGGGTTGGTAAAGATTCAGAAAAGGGCAAGCAAATGATTGGAAGGATGATGCCAAGATTGGAGCGTTTGGAACCTTTTAGTTGAGAGAAAAGGCAGCGTGAAAAAGGAATTTATAAAACTTCTGCATGGTATGGAGGAAGTAGGTTGAGAGAAAAAAAATTATCCCTCTCCCCTAACGCTAGAACTCGTGAAAGATTCAGGACAGATAAAGCCCTTCCTCACGAAGCGTATGAACTGTGGAACTCCCTTCTGCAGGAGACCATAAGGCAAAGGTAAAGGGACCCCTGACCATTAGGTCCATTCATGGCCAACTCTGGGGTTGTGGCGCTCATCTCGTTTTACTGGCCGAGGGAGCTGGCATACAGCTTCCGGGTCACAGCAATTCCGTTTCCAACTTCGATTTCTCCACCTGGAACCCTAACTTTTTGGATGCGGATGAAATTTAAAGACTGTTTAGCTAAATATGTTGGGATGTGGGTGGCGCTGTGGGTTAAACCACAGAGCCTAGGACTTGCCGATCAGAAGGTCGGTGGTTCGAATCCTGCGACGGGCTGAGCTCCCGTTGCTCGGTCCCTGCTCCTGCCAACCTAGCAGTTCGAAAGCACATCAAAGTGCAAGTAGATAAATAGGTACACCTCCGGCAGGAAGGTAAACGGCATTTCCGTGCGCTGCTCTGGTTCACCAGAAGCAGCTTAGTCATGCTGGCCACATGACCCGGAAGCTGTACGCCAGCTCCCTTGGCCAATAAAGCGAGATGAGCGCCGCAACCCCAGAGTCGGCCACGACTGGACCTAATGGTCAGGGGTCCCTTTACCTTTACCTTAGCTAAATATGTTAAGATAACTTAATTGGAAAAGCTTGCAAATAATAGATAGGCTAAGGATTTAAATATGTAAGGATAAGATGTTTAAAGCTAAATTAGAAAGAATGAAAGATGTTAAGTGATCAAGTTAATTTTTTGAGAAAATCGATTTTGGAAAAATGAAATTCAACCAAGGGGATTTGAGGGAGTCACTTAATAATGTTACCAAGATTTAAACAGGATGTATGTATGTTTGTTTGTCTATATGTTTGTTTGTTTTGAATTTTTGAAAATCAATTTAAAAAATTGAAAAGAAAAAAAAACCAGATGGGTGATGCGGGCCCGATCCAGCAGGCTATTATTAGTTTCCTTTTTATTTCTTTTCCTTAGCTTTCAGGGAGAGTCAGAACACTCCCCCCCCCAGCCTCGTTCTCCGGAACATGTCTGGAATCCTGGGGAAAATGCGGAAGTTGGGGAGCTCCGACCTGGAGGATTCGGAATCGATGGACGACCACTTGGAAGGCGAGGAGTCGGGCGCATGCACGCCCGGCAGCAACAGGTCGACCAAGCACAGCATCTTCGCCAAGCGGGCGCGGTTCGGGATTGGGGACGGAGACAAGGACACGGCTCCCATGGATTCCTTCTACCAGATGGACCACATGGTGTCCAGCCCCATCCTGAAGTTCAGCCTCAGCCTGGAGCGAGGGAGGTGTGGCAACCACTCTCCAAAGTGAGTGGGTCCCCTGGGGGGGCCTTTGAGTTACGCTTGGGGGTCTAAGATGCCCTGCCCTTAACCCCCCCCCCCGTAGCAAAACTAGGGAGGGAGAGGAACTCCCAATTCGGTTCAGATTTCAAAACGAAGTTACATCATTCACACTTTCCAAAATACAGTGGTACAGTGGTACCTCGGATTACAGACGCTTCAGGTTACAGATGCTTCAGGTTACAGACTCCGCTAACCCAGAAATAGTACCTCGGGTTAAGAACTTTGCTTCAGGATGAGAACAGAAATCGTGCAGCGGCAGCGGGGGCCCCCCATTAGCTAAAGTGGTGCTTCAGGTTAAGAACAGTTTCAGGTTAAGAACGGACCTCTGGAATGAATTAAGTACTTAACCCGAGGTACCACTGTATTTAAACAACAACCAGAAAACCCTAGAGCTGTGGAAATTATTACAGTGGTACCTCGGGTTACAGACGCTTCAGGTTACAGACTTCGCTAACCCAGAAATAGTACCTCGGGTTAAGGACTTTGCTTCAGGATGAGAACAGAAATTGCGCAGCAACAGCGGGAGGCCCCATTAGCTAAAGTGGTACCTCAGGTTAAGAATAGTTTCAGGTTAAGTACAGACCTCCGGAATGAATTAAGTTCTTAACCTGAAGTACCACTGTAACATGTGAATTGAAGTGCACCAGCCGAGAAAGGAAGACCAGGAAGGTGGTGTTTGTTCCTGGCTGTCAGGATTCGACCTGATCTGTTTTTTCATAGCTCTATGCTGCATTTCATTCAAAGGAATCCCAAAGCAGCTTGCAAACAAGCCTCGGCTGTCGAATGTAATCCGTTCCAGAAGACTGTTCGGCTTCCAAAACGTTCGACAACCGAGGCACGGCTTCCGATTGGTTGCAAAAGCTTCTTGCACTTGAACTGAAGCTGTGTTGGATGTTCAAGTTCCAAGGAACGTTCGGAAACCGGAGCATTTACTTCCCGGTTTTCAGCGTTCAGGGGCCAAAACGTTTGAAAACAGAGCTTTTCGAGAGCCGAGGTTTGACTGTAGCAGGATAGAAGGAACACAGCATAAATCATATCAAACGATTAACAAATCATCTGTGAAACAGATATGATACAAAACGATGTTAACAACTTAAAAAACTTTATGATTGACAAATCAGCATTTGTAAAGCAACATTGCCAACATGAACAAAACAGCAGCCAAAAAAATAAACTAAGCCCTCTTAACTATGCATGTCAGCCAGTAGATATTCAGGCTCTCAATGCCTTTTTAACTGGCCCTCAAAGTATTGCCATATTTCAAAAAGTGAAAACCCGCCCCCAGACAAAGAGAGGGAGGTGTGAGTGTGTGTCTAGAAACCAGCACACCAGACAAAGGTAAAATTGGCATCATGTGTTGCTCTGCCCACCAAAGGCATGTGGCCCCTGAGAGGTTACCCAGAAGTGAATGTGGCCCTCAAGCTGCCTTGGTGGTACATGTGTAGGGGGGGAGGCGATATATTTGAGGGCTGAGCCATTGCTCTCCAGGAGGAGCCAGTAACCCACAGCCCTCCTTCCTCGTGGCAGACTTCTCCATCGCGGGGCTCGCCGAGGAGCCTCCATGGGCGTGCGCCCCGAGAAATCGTTCCGGATCTACGACCGAAGGAGGCTCTTTGACGCGGTGGCCCAGGGGGATCCGAGTGAGCTGGACGACCTGCTCACCTACCTCCTGGAGACCCTGAAAAACCTGACGGATGAGGAGTTCAAAGGTAAGCGGGGATCGTGTGCCATTGCTGCCTTCCAGGGTTTGGGACGCGAAAGCCATTTCTAGAGCGTGGAGGATATTTCCTTGGAAGGCACCGAGTAAGACTTAGAGCAATGAGTGGGTGAGTGGGGGGAAGCTTTACTGGCCTGAGGGCCACATTTCCTCCCAAACAACCTTCCAGGGGCCACAGACCACACACACACCACCACCACCCATCTAGACAAACAAGAGGGATTGTCACAAATTTCCAGCTAAGGAAAGACACTCAAGGAAGGGGTGGAGCAGAGTCAATGAGGGGTGTGGCCTGAGCAGAGACCTGAGGGCCAGGTAGAGATGTATGGAGGGCCACATTTGGGACTCAGGTTCTCAGCTTCGTATTTACAGGCCTGGTTGACAGCTATAGGTAAAGGTACCCCTGCCCGTACGGGCCAGTCGTGACCGACTCTGGGGTTGCGTGCTCATCTCGCTTAAGAGGCCGGGAGCCAGAGCTGTCCGAAGACACTTCTGGGTCACGTGGCCAGCGTGACGAAGCTGCTCTGGCAAGCCAGCACCAGTGCAGCACACGGAAATGCCGTTTACCTTCCCGCTATAAAGCGGTACCTATTTATCTACTTGCACTTGGGGGTGCTTTCGAACTGCTAGGTGGGCAGGAGCTGGGACCGAAAGACGGGAGCTCACCCCGCTGCGGGGATTCAAACTGCTGACCATGCGATCGGCAAGTCCTAGGCACTGAGGTTTTACCCACAGCGCCACCCGCTGTGGGTTGACAGCTATATTTTCTATCTATTTTTTGCCTGGGCCTCTGCTGCCCAGGGCGGATTCCAGGATTTACACATATACACACTAAGGGGACATCTTGGGCCTGGCATCCTCAGTGACCCCTTGAACGGGGAAGGACCTGCAAGCTAAGATTCTCTTAGGCTGCATCTGATCTCCTTGGGTACATTTTGCAGAGTGGCAACGTTAGCACTGTCATGGCAAGGGCGCCCTCTGCTGCTCTTGGGAGTCTTGGCACATGCCCTGTCTTGCAAGATCTTGCCATCCTCTGGCGCCAGACCTGGAGACAAGTACCCTCATTATGCACCTCCACTGCTTGCTCCCATTTTGCCTGGGTGTATAAATTTTGTGTGTTTCCTCCCCCAGAACCAGATACTGGGAAGACATGCTTGTTGAAAGCCATGCTGAACCTCCACAACGGCCGGAATGACACCATCCCTCTCCTGCTGGAGATTGCGGAGAAGACGGACAACCTGAAGGAGTTTGTGAATGCCGAGTACACAGACAGCTACTACAAGGGTAAGGCGTGTGCGATTGCCGTGGGTGGTGGGACGTGTATGGAGCTATTAATGGGGGGCAGAGGGTGAAGACCGACATTCCAGCTCACGGTTCTGCCTCCTCTTCAGGCCAAACTGCGCTGCACATCGCCATCGAGAGACGAAACATGTACCTTGTAGACCTCCTGGTCAGGAACGGCGCCGACGTCCACGCAAAAGCCCACGGGGAGTTCTTCCAGAAAATCAGCGGCAGGCCCGGGTTTTATTTTGGTAGGCGCTGTCTTTGGAAGGGTCCTAGGTCTTGAGTTGGGTGGGGGCTGGCCGAGCCAGGAGGAGAGGCCGACAGAAGACCCCCAAGGTGGGACCCCGTGGGCTGGGAAGGTTTTTAGCCGGGTCAGGAGAGCCTGAGGAAGAGGATCCAAACATTAAAGCTTTGGGTAGAAACCACAACCTGAGCTCGAGTTCTCCACCTGGCAGGAGCCAGGGCAGGATAGGTTTTTATGTGACTCTGATGTTCATGTGACTCTGATGGCCCATCGTTGTTCCCACCAGGTGAACTGCCGCTCTCTTTGGCTGCCTGCACGAACCAGCTCAACATCGTGAAGTACCTTCTCGATAACCCCTACCACCCGGCCAACATTGCCACCCAGGATTCCATAGGCAACACCGTCCTCCACGCTTTGGTGGAGATCGCCGACAACACGGAGGACAACACCAAGTTTGTCACCAAGATGTACAACGACATCCTCATCCTGGGAGCCAGGCTCAACCCCACCCTCAAACTGGAAGATATCGCCAACCGAAGGGGGCTGACACCGCTGACCCTGGCGGCCAAGACTGGGAAGATACAGGTAGGTTGTGTGAGCTGCTTGAAATGATCAGGCACACTCATTCCCAGTGCACAGCTTGGAAGTCATTTTGGACTCACAGCTGTCCATAGAGGCGTAGGTTAATTCTGTGTCCAGGGTAGCTGTCTACCAGCTCCATCTGGTACGCAGGATGAGACCCTACCTGCCCGCAGACTGTATCAACAGAGTGGTGCATCCTCTGGTTATCTTCCTCTTGGACTACTGCAATGCGCTCTACGTGGGGCTACCTTTGAAGGTGGCCCGGAAACTACAACTAATCCAGAATGCAGTAGCTAGACTGGTGACTGGGAGCGGCCGCCAAGACCACATAACACCAGTCTTGGCTCCCAGTACGTTTCTGAGCACAATGCAAAGTGTTGGTGCTGACCTTTAAAGCCCTAAACGGCCTCAGCCCAGTAGACCTGAAGGAACGTCTCCACCCACATCATTCAGCCCGGACACTGAGGTCCGACTCCGAGGGCCTTCTGGAGGTTCCCTCACTGTGAGAAGTGAAGCTACAGGGAACTGGGCAGAGGGCCTTCTCGGTAGTGGTGCCCGCCCTGTGGAACGCCGTCCCATTAGATGTCAAGGAAATAAACAACTATCTGACATCTGAAGACAGCCCTGTTTAGGGAAGTTTTTAATGTTTGATGTTTTATCGTGTTTTTAATATTCTACTGGGAGCCGCCCAGAGTGGCTGGGTTGAAACCCAGCCAGATGGGCGTGCTGTAAATAGTCATTTATTATTGTTGTTGTTGTTATTTGGCAACACCAACCAGCATTCCATCTGGAGATCAGAGCTAGATTGATTGTGTCAGTAGTGCAGCATGGGAGGGGGGCTACTGGGGCAATTGCCCTGGGCACAAAAATGTTGAGGGGCATGCCTCTGCAGCTGCCGCCCTGAACGGATGTGCTCTCCGTCCCGTCTGCCTCACCTGGGCAGCACGCCAAGCAGGAGCTGGGAGAGGATGGGCCCTTGCATCTCCCCCCCCCCCCCAGCAGGGGAGGCAGGGGGGCGGCGAGACTCATGGTGACGGCGCCGCTGCAGCCCCAAGAGGCATACACACACACACACACACGCTGCTCTGCAGCTCTGTCCAGCAGTAGCAGCGCTGCATGGAGGTGTCAGGGGGCTTAATATTTGTCTTGGGGAGGTAAAATACTGATCTTGCCCTGGCCTCTGGCAGCTCATGCTATGCCACTGATTTTGCGACTCATTTTGCAGCGTCTGTGGCTCGAAACTCACTCTACACTCACTTGGTGGTCTCAAGCCAGCCACTGTTCTTTCCGTCTGGGCTCCTGTGTCTGCAGAATGGTGCTAATAGCATAGTAAAGGTAACGGTAAAGGGACCCCTGACCATTAGGTCCAGTTGTGGCCGACTCTGGGGTTGCGGCGCTCATCTCGCTTTGTTGGCCGAGGGCACCAGCGTACAGCTTCTGGGTCATGTGGCCAGCATGACTAAGCCGCTTCTGGCGAACCAGAGCAGCGCACGGAAACGCCGTTTACCTTCCCGCCGGAGCGGTACCTATTTATCTACTTGCACTTTGACGTGCTTTCGAACTGCTAGGTTGGCAGGAGCAGGGACCGAGTAACGGGAGCTCATCCCGTCGTGGGGATTCGAACTGCCGACCTTCTGATCGGCAAGTCCTAGGCTCTGTGGTTTAACCCACAACGCCACCCGCGTCCTAATAGCATAGTAGCTAATAGCATAATAGCCCCACCTTGTGGTTGCAAGGCAGAGATGCCCAAGCTTCCGTTGGCATACGTTTTCTGACTGAAAGCATTCCATTCTAGTTCTCAAAAATAGTTTGGTTTTTTTAAAAGCTACATAAAAACAACAGCCCCGGGAGTACTCAACCCTGAGGGAGGTCACTGTTTGGTTTCGAAGGAGGCATATGAGGAACCGTGACTCAGGAAGGGATGCAGCCGTCGCCTGAGACTGCGGAACCTCTGAGTCAAGAGTGACTGAATGATCTGATTCCAGGGAGAAACAGTAAATCATACAGAGAGGCAACAGGAAGTCTCCTGTCCCCAGTCAGCACTTGGGATTCACAGGAAGTCTTTAATTCTGTCGCTTTTAATTCCTGGGAATCAAACCCAGGACAATTCCAGCAGAAACACTCACAAAGACCCTGCGTCAACAGGTGAGCTGTGATTCCTCTGCATTGCAAGGATATGGACTAGATGATTCACGGGCTCCTTCCAGCTTCAAAATTCTATAATTTTAAAATCATAAGGGGAAAAAATCCCTAAAAGAAAGGAGCCGGGGAAAGACATAGGACTTACCATTTCGGGAGGTTTGTCTTCTGAATTCAGCTTGCATTTGTTATCTCTCAAACCTTGGCGGACCAAATCAAGCTTCTCTTGCAAAGCTTAAAAAGGAAAGGAAAGGTTACCACATCTGGGCCACTTTAGTTTAGAGAAAAGGCAAGTAAGAGGAGATAAGTGTATAAGTGTATAAAATCAGCAGAGTGGAGAAAGCAGACAGAGAAAAGTTCTTCTCCCTCTCTCACAATAGTAAGACTTAGCAGCCCATGAAACTGAGTGTTGAAATATTCAGTACAGAGAAAAAAAGTGCTTCTTCACACAGGTAAAGGTAAAGGGACCCCTGACCATTAGGTCCAGTCATGGCCGACTCTGGGGTTGTGGCGCTCATCTCGCTTTATTGGCCGAGGGAGCCGGCATACAGCTTCCAGGTCATGTGGCCAGCATGACAAAGCCGCTTCTGGCAAACCAGAGCAGCGCACGGAAACGCCGTTTACCTTCCCGCCTATTTATCTACTTGCACTTTGACGTGCTTTTGAACTGCTAGGTTGGCAGGAGCTGGGACTGAACAACGGGGAGCTCACCCTGTCGCGGGGATTCAAACCACCAACCTTATGATCGGCAAGTCCTAGGCTCTGTGGTTTAACCCACAGCGCCAGCCACGTCCTGCTTCTTCACATAAAGCATAGCTACCAGTAAACTATGACTTTAAAAGAGGACGAGGCACGGAGGACAAGGGTGCTGGTGGCTACTGGTCACAATGGCCATGTTCTCCCTTTGCAGTCTGCCTCTCAATTTCTGTTCCTGAGAATCACAAGTGGGAAGAGTTATTGCTGCACCAGGTCCTGCTTGTGGGCATCCCATAATGACCACTGTGAGAACAGGATCCTGGCCCAGATGGGCCCTCTAGATGGGCCTGACCCTGTGGGTCTTTTCCTTGTTTTCTCATGGCTAGGTCTTTGCGTACATCCTCAGACGGGAGATCAAGGAGCCGGAGTGTCGCCACCTGTCCCGGAAGTTCACAGAATGGGCTTATGGGCCTGTTCACTCGTCACTCTATGACCTGTCCAGCATCGACACCTGCGAGAAGAACTCGGTCCTGGAGATCATCGCTTACAGCAGCGAGACGCCGGTATGTCTGAGGCCTGATTCCCTGGCCTCCAGTGCCACAGCTTACAGGCTTCTTTGACGGTCCTCAGTGAGGTCAGGTTTAGGGATGGGCCAATCTGCCACAGTCCGTTTCCACATGTCCACATCAGTTTGCAATATATATATATATTTAAATACCCTAATGAAAATTTGTCATCATCAGGGCGAATTCCTCCTAACGTACTCAATGACCCTTGGGGTCCCTTCCAACCCTACAATTCTATCCAACTTAGCTTAATTTTTTTGCAACACATTTTGGTATCTTATTTTCACATACAGTGGTACCTCGGGTTAAGTACTTAATTTGTTCCGGAGGTCCATTCTTAACCTGAAACTGTTCTTAACCTGAAGCACCACTTTAGCCAATGGGGCCTCCCGCTGCCGCTGCGCCGCCGGAGCCCGATTTCTGTTCTTATCCTGAAGCTGTTCTTAACCTGAAGCACTATTTCTGGTTACAGATAGGTAGCCGTGTTGGTCTGCCATAGTCAAAACAAAAAAAATTCCTTCCAGTAGCACCTTAAAGACCAACTAAGTTAGTTCTTGGTATGAGCTTTCGTGTGCATGCACACTTCTGTGTATCTGAAGAAGTGTGCATGCACACGAAAGCTCATACCAAGAACTAACTTAGTTGGTCTTTAAGGTGCTACTGGAAGGAATTTTTTTTGTTTTCACTATTTCTGGGTTAGCGGAGTCTGTAACCTGAAGCGTATGTAACCTGAAGCGTATGTAACCTGAGGTACCACTGTATGCATCTATAGAATATATGCTTTACCCAGGTATAAGCATTACTCGGCTGGAGAACTGCTTTGCAAAATCAGCCATTTTTATTTTTGATCGCAGTACTTTTGCCCTTTTAATTTCCACTCTGCCCTTGGTTTTCTTCCAGCGGGGAGACTGGTCCATTAAAGTGCAACGGGGGCAGCTAGCCCCCACCTGCCCGCCATCTGACTTACAACCAGCCTAGTGGGTAGCACTCCCTTTCATTGGCTCTGGCGCCACCTGCTGTTGGCCTCCCCACCTCCCACCCTACCAGTCTGCTTTATTTTCCCCTTCCAGAACCGGCACGAGATGCTGCTGGTGGAGCCTCTCAACCAGCTCCTGCAGGACAAGTGGGACCGATTCGTCAAGCACCTCTTCTACTTCAACTTCTTCATTTACGCTGCCCACATCGTCATCCTCACCGTCGCCGCCTATTACAGGCCAACGAAAAAGCACGGGGAGGTGGTTTAACTTTGAGATTCTTGGGTTTCTAGCTCTCTTTTTTTCATACCATCCCTTATGGAGGGGGTTTCTATGCCTTTTTGCTCCTGGAGTTTGCGTCACCTGCTGAAATTCTTCCTGACATGCAGCTGTGAAATGCCCCAGGGGTCAGGTTAGGTGGGAACGGGCATGTGGGGCGTGTGTGCTATTCCTTTTGAAGTGGGACCTGCAGGAAAATGGTCAAACAGGGTCTCTTGGCCATGCTGCCTGCCTGCCTGCCTGCTCCACCCTTCCCCAGGTACTCCATCCCATTCTGTCTCTCAGCTTCCACACACACCCACCGAATCAGTCAGCGCTGCACAGTAATCATTGGGCTATTTTTCAGGTGGGGGCCACTCTCCCCTTTTAAGGATTTCCCCCCAAGATCTTATATCCTTCTGAAACCTTGCCTGAGTTCCCTCAAGCCTCCTGATACAGGATAATAAGTCTTGCGCCAGGTCGCTAGAAGAAGAAGAGTTTGGATTTGATATCCCGCTTTATCACTACCCTAAGGAGTCTCAAAGCAGCTAACAATCTCCTTTCCCCTCCTTCCCCCACAACAAACACTCTGTGTGGTGAGTGGGGCTGAGAGACTTCACAGAAATCTGACTAGCCCAAGGTCACCCAGCAGCTGCATGTGGAGGAGCGGGGAAGCAAACCCAGTTCACCAGATTACGAGTCCACCTCTCTTAATCACTACACCACGCTGGCTCTCTAGTCTCGTGGTGTAGGCAGGAATGAGCTATCTTGCTTTGGCATTGCTCCTTAAGCCAGACTTGGTGCCCTCCATTTAAGACCCACACCATCCTCAGAGTTGGGGAAGTCTACTTGAAGCACTACGCATGTTTATCGTCTCCTAAAACAATGCAGTAATTCAGTAGCGTGATCCTATGTGAGTTATCTTGGGAACGAATATGTATCAGTGGGACATACACCTGGCTTAGTGGTCCTTACTCATTACAGCCTACAGTTATTATACTACAGGACAGGGACGGGGAGAGGCTATACTCCGACTCAGGAGCCTGATCAGTTATCCTACCCCAGCAAACATTTCTCCCCCTCTCTAAAGATCTCCCCCATTTTTGCATTTAAATATAAATAAAAATGGGGTGGGCAGAGAAGTGGTTAAACCTCTCAGCTCTGCCTTGGGCTCTGTTGGGGTTGCAAACCACACACACACTCATCAGATCACTTATTTTATTAGCAAGGAGAGGGCAGTGGCTCCCTCTCCTGAGCTGATATGCACAGATCAGCCAAGGAAGGCGGGATGGTTGTGTCCTTTGTGAGTCCTGTACGTCCAGTGAGTGTGGGAGAGTGTGGGGTGACCACAGTCACTGCTGGCGTTTCACCTTTAGAGGGCTGGCCAAGGGCAAATGTGCCTACTTCCCCACCACCACCAAAATTAGCCACTCCTGTTACAACACACTCACATAGCTGTCAACTTACAGATTTGAAAATAAGGGACCAGAAGCCTCGAAAATAAGGGATCAGCAGCCCAAATAAGGGATTTTGCTTAGCTTATGAGTTCCATTGGCCCTTCCCCGCCTGAGAGGGAGGGAGAGAGACTCTCGCCCACACCACCTGTGAGCCCGGCATGAGGCGGTTGCGTAGCCGCGGCAGCCACTGAAGTGCCACCCTTCTGCGTCCCTCCCCATCCCCTCCTCTTCCTCCTCCCTCAGGCCGCCTCCTCAGCCGCCGCTGCCGCCTCCGGTTTCCCCTGGCAGCGCGGTGGAAGTCTCGCAAGAGAGGGGCTGCCTGCCTGCCCACCGCCACCTGTCTCCTCACGACGTGCCCCTGGGGGGGGAAAGGGAGAGACAGAGACGCGGCAGCTCGTGCACGCGCTCTCGAGGTGGAGGACCCCGAGCCGCTGCTTCCCTCCTGAGCCGGGCAAGCATGAAACCTGGGAAATTTAAGGGACATCATCAATCCGGGACAGCAGCGGGACACGGCGCTGGGATAAGGGAGTTTCCCGCCAAATAAGGGACAGTTGACAGCTATGCACTCATTCCTAGTTCACAGCCGGGCTCTGGGTTTTGACTCTCTAAATTTGCACCCTTCTCGTCCACAGCCCCCGTTCGCCTTTAATTACACGACCAACGAGTATTTCCGAGTCACCGGGGAGATCCTGAGTGTGTTGGGGGGTGCCTATTTCTTCTTCAGAGGGGTAAGAACTTCACCAGAGTCTCTTATGGGTGGGCAAAGGGCTTAGGTCCCGGGGGAACATACGCATTTTTTTTAGCTTGTGCCATGGGGCCACCCCCTCTGGTCACTGCTCTCTCCCCTCCCCCTGATCTGCCGCTCTGCACCGAGAAACAGAAATAGAGAAAGTGCTCACACACAAACGCACAAATGCTTCCCTTTCCCAGGGAATCTGGGTAAAGGTCAGATCCTGATTAATCTGAGCCTTGGAAATCCCATAGAACTGGAAAAGGAAGTGGGAAAGAGCAACTTCCTCCCTTGGTTCTAGGGCAGCGCAACTGGTTCTGCCGCACTAGGAGCTGAGCCCAGGGGGTAGCACTCCTATTTGTCCATATTTTACACAAACTATATCTGTGGCTTGTGGTTCTATATTCAGCCATGGGAGAGCATTCCACAGACAGGGAGCCACTGTAGAGAAGGCCCCGTTCTCGTGTTAGTCTAAGGCCATTAAATGAGTTTCATGGCTAAGGCTCCAATCCCAGTCTACTGGGAAGACAGTGTATCATTTCTCTGGATAAATTTATTGTCCTTTATCATTCGACAATACATTAGGAAGGGAGTGTGGCTCACTGGTAGTGCACATCCTTTGCATGTTGTCTGGGTTAGGGTAGGTCATTTTATTGTGTATCTGCGTGAGGGGCGGTGGAGGTAAAAGACTTTACGGGTTTTTGTTGCCCTACCTGGGTGGATGGAGCAGCCAAGTAATTTCGTTGTCCCCGAGAGGGGGCAATGACAATAAAGATATTATTATTATTATTATTATTGAAGCCCTTTCACACCAACCTCTATTTATTCTCCTGCCTTTTTTCAGATCAAGTATTTTAAGCAGAGACAGCCATCCCTGAAAGCAATCTTTACGAACAGCTACAGTGAACTTCTCTTGTAAGTGTGATATAACCAGCCTTATATAACCAACATGCTTACGTCCAATTAACACATGAAGGGGTTAATTCCATAGAGTAAGCTGTCCTGTCAGGTTTAGCATTGTCCCTCACCTTGGGAGTAACAAGGTAACTAAGCCTTTCTTCTCCTCCCAATCTACCTGAGAAGCTTAGCATGTTAAGAGGTTTTGAGGTGGTTGCTGCAGCTCAGACTGCAGAGCTCTTACAAGCCTCTCTTGAGTTTCTATGCAAATAATTTGGGAACTTTCACCACTTGGCCAAGTTTTATCTGCCTATGAAACTTTTCTGATGTATGAAAAACAGCATGAAGCTGACCTTTGAAGGGTTTGTAAGTAAACCAGTTTTTAACTTACCAAACATGTGGTCTTTTCCTATGCTGGGGGCAGTTTGGGAACTCTCAATGACATATTAGTAAAGGTCTAACAGATTGTATTTCCACCCTTTACTTTGCTGCATGTTTTGGGATTTTAAATCTCTGCTGGGATTCACTCACCAAAGAGCACATGGAACTTGGCATCCAGGGAATTCTCATTCCTTTTTGCCAGTTTTTCCTTGAACCAACAGTAGACATCCCTTTTACGTGTTTTGAAGTGAGTGGCAGTGTGGTGTAGTGGTTAGAGTGTTGCACTAGGAAGACCGGGGATCAAATCCCCCCCGCAGCCAGGAAGCTTGACTCCTCCTGTTGCCCACTCAGCTTCATCCACTCTGTCCTGATCCTGGGCTCAGCAATCCTGTACTTCAGCAAGCAAGAACTCTACGTCATCCTCATGGTCTTCGCCTTGGCCCTGGGCTGGACCAACCTGCTGTATTACACTCGTGGCTTCCAGCAGATGGGGATTTACTCAGTCATGCTGGAGAAGGTCAGTCTGGGATAAAAGGGGCAATGGGTAGCAGAGGCTAGTCCCTTGGGGTGAAGGGTTCACTGCTCCACCAACCTGAGCCCACCCTCATCCAGTTGGACCCTAGTTCTCTCTTCCCTCCCACCCCTCCACCTCTTTTTTGCAGATGATGCTGAGAGACCTGTGTCGTTTCATTGTGGTCTACCTCCTTTTCCATTTGGGCTTTTCGACAGGTAACGGAGTGACTGTTTTGGATTCTTTTTGGTGGGGTTGGAGAGAGGACGAAAGCGAACACCTACAGACGTGTCCTGGTGCTGCAAAAGCTGGGTGGGTTAGTTCAGAGGTGGGGGAGAAACTGGCTTGGGATCTACCAGTACAATTTGCAAGAAGACCAGCAAGGCTTTTCCAGTTCCCGATTTCCCCAGAGACCGAGGTGACATTTGCACTGTTCTCAGAACATCCCAGTCACCAAGGAGAAATGGCTGATGTCCCCAGAGAGAGCAGCCTCCCACATTCCATGCACCAAACAGTGAAATATGCCCAATTAAATAAATAAGTAGTTTCTGTGTATCTTTTAATAAATACTGTGTGTGTGTGTGTGTGTGTGTGTGTGTGTGTGTGTGTGTGTGTGTGTTTTCAGTGATCTTCCCTCACCACCAACACTACTGGGGTTGGATATAGCCAAATTTGTCCATTTATCATTCTTTTCACTCTTCAGTTCACTTCTTCACATTTCCCATCAGTTTGCAATTATTATTTTAAAATCAGTGCAGATTTCTCCTGATACGCAATCCTTTTTTAAAAATATATATATTTTTCTTTCTTTTTCCCTCCTCTCTCTTTTCTCCCTCTCCTTTCTTTTCCTCCCCCTTTTTTTCTTCTTTTTGCTCTTGTTCCTGTTTAGATTACATTTTTAAAGTATTTACCGTATTTTTCGCTCTATAAGACGCACCAGACCACAAGACGCACCTAGTTTTTGGAGGAGGAAAACAAGAAAAAAATATTCTGAATCTCAGAAGCCAGAACAGCAAGAGGGATCGCTGCGCAGCGAAAGCAGCAATCCCTCTTACTGATCTGGCTTCTGGGATAGCTGCGCAGCCTGCATTCGCTCCATAAGATGCACACACATTTCCCCTTACTTTTTTAGGAGGGAAAAAGTGAGTCTTATAGAGCAAAAAATACGGTATTTTATTCTGGTGCATTATAAAAATATACTTTGTAATGGGCATGAACTTTTGCATATCTTTGGATAAGTATCAATAAAAATAGATATTAAAAAAACCCACTTAATACACAATTTGTATATGCAGTTTTTGCCTAATTATACTTTTTGGCTTTTTGCAAAGCAATTCCCACCCTACCTAATCTAATTCCTTTTCACTAATACATGTGTTTTTATGCCCGCTTCTACCCCAGTAAGTGTGATTTTGAACACAATGCTTTGCTGAAGAACTGCATTGCAAGGGACGATTCTGACGGCCGGTTGCATTGCGGATGGCGAATTGCTTTGCAAAAGGTAGATTAAGTACTTTTGCCTTGGAATGTGAACTGAATTTGGTTACTTCCTCGTTGCCTAGCTGTCGTGACCCTCATTGAGGACGACGATGAGCTGCTGGCACAGAACCAAACTCACAGTACCTGTCAATCAAAGTGCCGCCCCTCCTACAACAACTTCTACTCCACCTGCCTAGAACTTTTCAAGTTCACGATTGGGATGGGAGATTTGGAGTTCACAGACAGTTACCACTTCAGGTTTGCCTCCCCGCTCCCCTTTACTTTTAACGCATGCCAACTATTTTGTTCTGACATTTTCAGACTTATGTGAACAGTTCTGGCCATCTCGTCTCAGACAGGATATTGTAGAGAAATAATAATAATAATAATAATAATAATAATAATAATAATAATATTTATATTCCGCCCTCCCCAGCCGAAGCCAGGCTCAGAGCTGCTAACAACAATAAAAGTAACACAGCATTCTAAAATCAATTCATTCTAAAATCAGTTCAAAATCAAATTAATGGCAACCATTGGGCTAGAGTTTTGTGAGTCAAGGAGGGGGTCAGACTGTGCCTTGGCCAAAGGCCTGGTGGAACAGCTCTGTCTTGCAGGCCCTGCAGAAAGATGTCAAGTCCTGCAGGGCCCTAGTCTTTTGGGACAGAGCATTCCACCAGATCGGGGCCACAGCCAAAAAAGCCCTGGCTCTGGTTGAGGCCAGCCTAACCTCCCTGTGGCCCGGGACCTCCAATATGTTTTGGTTTGAAGACCGTAAGGTCCTCCGTGGGACATACCAGGAGAGGCAGTCCCGTAGGTACAAGGATCCTAGGCTGTATGGTGCTTTAAAGGTTAAAACCAGCACCTTAAACCTGACCCTGTACTTCACCAGGAGCCAGTGCAGCTGGTATAGCACCGGGTGAACGCGATCCTGCGGCAAGGACCCCATAAGGAGTCTCGCCACGGCATTCTGCACCCGCTGGAGTTTCTGGGTCAGTCTCAAGGGCAGCCCCACGTAGAGCGAGTTACAATAATCAGGTCTGGAGGTGACCGTCGCCTGGATCACAGTGGCTAGGTCAGGGCGAGTGAGGCTGCTTAGCTTGGCGGAGTTGAAAAGGTGGAGCAAACTCCCCTTTGGAGAAAAGGTTGCAGAGTTTGGGACTTTTTAGTTTAGAGAAAAGGGGCGTCCAGTGAAGCTGAATGCTGGAAGATTCAGGAGAGATAAAAGGAAGCATTTTTTCACACAGTGCAGAGTGAAATTATGGAACTCGCTCCCCAAGAAGCAGGGATGCCCACCAACCTGAAGGCTTTGAAAGAGGATTAGACAAATTCATGGAGGAGAGACTATTGATGGCTACTAGCCATGAAGGCTCTTCTCTTCCTCCACAGCTGAAGGCAGCAATGCTTCTGAATGCCAGTGGCTGGAAACCACAGAAGGGGAGAGGGCTGCTCTTGTGTTCGAATCCTGCCTGCTAGTTTCCCCACAGACACCTGTTTGGCCACTCTAAGAACAAGATGCAGGACTGGCTAGGCCATTGGCCTGATCCAGCAGGCTCTTCTTATGTTCTAATAAGAATGTGTGCAATTACAAAAAGTTAATATAAATCATTAAAACCTGGGGGGAAATCTCCCAAGAGAGTAAATGCATCCTTAATTGTTCAGAGGCGGTGGCGCAGGAGAGGGCGTTCTCTGTGGCAGCCCCTAAGCTGCATAACTCCCTCTCCACATACGAGCATCCAGCATTTGACACTTGAGAGATGCGTTTCAGGATCCAACCTATTCCTGTGGTTGTAATTTTTTTTTAATGTTTTTAATACTGAATTTTAAATTGTTGTAAGCTGCCTGGGACCCACTGGTGAAGGGCACATCAGAGTCGTTGTAGTAGTAGCAATAGTAATTAATATAACCAATTTATTTGCCTCAGTTGCCCCAAATTGTAAAGAATAACTACTGAAGTTATAGGGAACTCTTACAATTTTTAATACAGTGGTACCTCGGGTTAAGAACTTAATTTGTTCCGGAGGTCCGTTCTTAACCTGAAACTGTTCTTAACCTGAGGTACCACTTTAGCTAATGGTGCCTCCCGCTGCTGCCGCACAATTTCTGTTCTCATCCTGAGGTAAAGTTCTTAACCCGAGGTGCTATTTCTGGGTTAGCGGAGTCTGTAACTTGAAGCGTCTGTAACCTGAAGCGTCTGTAACCCGAGGTACCACTGTAATTAAGAGTGCTGTTCCTATTTTCATATACACCCTAAATCACCATCAGTTCCTTTTCATCAGTTCAACCAAATTACAAACTATGGACATCAAACCTTTACCTTACAGGAGATCATTGTGATTTATAAGTTTAAAATGTGCTGTTCTGAACTCCCTCCCTCCCTCTATCTATCTTTCTTATGGACCTGTTTGCCCAGCGCATTCACACAGTTACCTGTATTTCCTAATTTTGCCGTTAGTTTCACTACCTTTAGTTCCCCACGCTTCAGGTCAGTCTTCATCATCCTGCTGGTGACTTACGTCATAGTCACGTACATCCTCCTCCTCAACATGCTCATCGCCCTGATGGGAGAAACGGTCAACAAGATTTCTCAGGAGAGCAAAAGCATTTGGAAGCTCCAGGTGAGTTTGGCTTCTGATCAGCGTCTCGGCCTCGGTGTGTCTGTGATAGGAATTTTGAGATCTTAGATATATGGTAATGTTCATAACCGCACGTACATAGATCAGCACAGGAAGACCGACCTGAAGCCATTTTGATTCCTAAACTGAGCAAACGTTTTCTCTGCAAGGTCAAAGTGGGAAAGCCTCCCCATTGTCTTTTCCTTCACAAATCCTGTCTTAAGGGTATGTCTGTGTTTGAATAGGGTGTGAGCCTGTGACCTGGCCCAGGAACTAAGTATTTATCACTACAAAAGACTGGCCAGGCTTCCCCAGGAAATCCAATCAAGTAACCTGCCAGACAGGAGATAAACAAGGACAGGAGAAAAACAACATTCAAATTTCTGTTTTAGACCGCCTTTCCTGTGATGTAGGTGTGATGTATCTGGAGGGTGGTCTTAGGTTACACCCCTTCTGTGATGTATGCATGATGTTTCTGGGGGTGGTCTTGATCTACAGGGTGGCAATTTCAAAAGTCTTTATAAGGCCTTGCACGCCATTTTTCTGGGTTCCTCCTCTCTCCTGCGTGTGGTGAGTGAGGACCCTGTTGCAACAGATCAGTAAAGATCAGGCTTACGAGCTGCTTTGCTTCTCAGTATTCTCTGGTTGGCCTCTGTTATTCTCTCCTACCAATAGGGAACCTATGTAAGGACTCTATATGGGCTCTTGGATACCCCATAAGGGAAAAAGGGCAATTTTTGTTTACAACATGTCTTTGCTGAGTGAATTCAGCCAGCTCTGGGTTAGGGTCGGGAGGCTCTGGAAAACGCAGGAATTAAGAGTCTCAGGTTCTACCAGCTGAGATATATATATATATTTCCACCCAGAGAGCCATCACCATCTTGAACATCGAGAACAGCTATTGGAACTGCATTGTCAACTCCTTCCGATCTGGGAAACAAGTTCTGGTGGGGACTACTCCGGACGGGAAAAATGATTACCGTTGGTGCTTTAGGTAATTCTGGTTCCCCTCTCCTTACGCCTTGGGATGACAAGGAAATAGAGGCTGTCAGGCCAAACCAAAACATCCCACCCACCACCCGCCAATTCTGTGGTCCCATTCTCAGGCTGCAAAATTGTGGCCATGGACAGGTGTGAACATTTGAAGCTTTTCAGGGACTGGGTGTGTGGAAGTTGCCAGCCCTCCTCACAGCTCTGGTCAGCTGGCAAGTCACCCTTTTGTATCCCCCAGAATTCCCTGCTTGCTTGAGATACTTGGAGTCACGTGTTTACACTGTTCTGGGTTGTAGCAATCTGTTAGGTAATGGTAACAGGAAGTGACTGTGTAGCAGTAAATTTTGAAGTACAAGAGCTCATCTTGAGAGACATATCCTGCATAGCTACATCCTCAAGGAGGTTCTGTTGCCAGCCTCTCTCCAAATAGCATAAAAAAAAAATGCAGGCAGCTATGTTATTTGTGTATTTACACACAGATAGCCAAAAAGTGTATAGTGCATTTGCCTGACATAGTACCCAACTGATTTGGACCAGCATCACAACAATCCTAGTTTCCTGGGAGCAAATGCCCTTGTAAAACACATTTGCACTTCAACAAAAGATCTTCCGCCAGCTGAGATGCAATGCTTAGCCTTTATTAGAAAGCCAAACATGTGAACCACTAGCATGAAGCAGGGACTCCATGAAAGGAAAGGAAAGCTGTATCCATCCTCAGCCCGAGCACATCTGAAGGCAGCCCTGTTTAGGGAAGTTTTTAATGACTGATGTTTTAATGTATTTTTAATCTTTTGTTGGAAGCCGCCCACAGTGGCTGGGGAGACCCAGCCAGATGGGCGGGGTAGAAATAATAATAATAATAATAATAATAATAATAATAATACAGTGGTGCCCCGCAAGATGAATGCCTCGCAAGACGAAAAACTCGCTAGACGAAAGGGTTTTCCGTTTTTTGAGTCGTTCCGCAAGACGAATTTCCCTATGGGCTTGCTTCGCAAGACGAAACGTCTTGCAAGTTCTTGCGAGTTTGTTTCCTTTTTCTTAAAGCCGCTAAGCCACTAAGCTGTTAATAGCCGCTAAGCCGCTAAGCCGTTAATAGCCGCTAAGCCGCTAATAGCTGCTAATAGCCGTGCTTCGCAACACGAAAAAACTGCAAGACGAAGAGACTCGCGGAACGGATTAATTTAGTCTTGCGAGGCACCACTGTAATAATAATTATAATTATAATTAATAATAAATTATTTTCCTCATTCCCTGGTTTCTGCCATGCTCACCCTTCCCAAAGAAACTTGAAAGCCTCATTGTCACCCCATTCCTCATTGCCGTATCATGGAAGGTCCGTCAGTTCCCCCGGTGGATGATGTAATTGCTCATGTTCTGTCAAAAAGAGAAGTAGCAGCCTCGGAGCTGGGCTGCCCCCCACATTCCCTCCCCAACTGCGTTGCTGCTAGGGGGAGACCTGACCACGTTTGCTTCTCCTGAACAGAGTGGATGAGGTGAACTGGTCCACATGGAACACCAATCTGGGCATCATCAACGAAGACCCTGGTGGATACAGTGAGGAGCTGAAACGGAACCTGAGCTTTTCTTTCAAATATGGGAGAGGTGAGGAAATATATTCCTTGTGACTGGGCGGTGGGAGCCTTTTGCAAACAGTTCATTTTTTCAGAGTGAATGAAGCCCAGGTGTTACCCAGTTGATGTTCTCTGTGGTGGGGGGATCCCAAGGAACTACCTGGTGTGGACTGAGCATGCTCAGTGTGCACAGAATGCTGGTCGTGGGAGGGACAGAAAACTATGTGGAGTGGGGGGGGAGAGAATGGAATGGAGTCTCCTAGAGAAGGGTATGGCTGGCAGAAACTAGTAAACAGGGGTGCCGTACACTGCTTTTTATTGTTGGTCTTGTGGGGGGGGATGGAGAGAAAGGCTATTGGTGCGAGTAGGGGGGAAGGATATATAGGTAGGTATCTCTGCCAGGAAAACTGGGAGCTAAGAGGTGGAGCCGGAGAAACTGTGTGCTGTTCATATGTTGTTCTTTTTAAATGCCACTGCCAGCTGCACTGAGCTCAGCCACGTTTCTGGAAAATCGGCGCGCAAGTGTCAAATCGAAACAAAAGCCAATCCCCGTGTCAGTTTCAGGGAAAAACTGGAAGACCTTGGTCCCGATCCGGAGAGATGGAAAACGAGAAGGGTCGCTCAAGCCCATTTCGGAAGACGGCGCGGATTCAGAAGAGCAAGGCCCCCGGAAGAAATCTCTCCCCAAGTTTGTCCACTTTTTTTGGTCTCTCGTCATCTTCTGCAAGGTTTTTAATTCTAGAAACGAGGAAATTGGATGTGGGCAAAACATGCCTTTTTAATCGTTAGACGGATACAGGCAAACAGTGGGCCAAATACCTTTTCTCCATGGGGCCTGATTTTGGGACAACAGGTTGCTGGTTGCTGAATACAATACCCCTAAACATTTTTTTAAAAATTGCAAGCTGAGTCTCCTAATATATTTAGGGTAGAGATGGGGAACCTCCACCAGGGTCCAAATATGGCCTCCCATGCCTCTCTATTTGAACTTTAAAAATGAGAAACTGGGAGAAACTGAGGATTTGTGCCCCACCTTCCTGGCTAGGATCCTTCTCTGCGTGAGACCCTAGAGTCATAGAACTGTAGAGTTGGGAGGGACCCCAAGGGGTCATCTAGTCCAACCCCCTGCCATGCAGGAAACTTGGAGGGCTGCTGCCAGCCAGTGTAGGCAATACTGAGTTAAGGTGGATGAATCTATCAGTTGTGGTTTATCTCCGTTTCTCGTTTTCCCCGTCTCAAGTTCAATTAAGCTCCCTATGTTCAGGTGGATTTAAATGGCACGTTAAAAATTTATACTTATTTTGATCCTGGGTGGGGGTAGAGGGCGTGGAGGGGAACCCCTTAAAATTATTCTAATTGTACACTTCTGTTTGTTTCATTTACAGCCCTGTCTTATGATTTTGGGAAGCTGCTGAATCAGTGGAAGAATCTCCCCCCAAACCTTCTGTTATGTTGTGGCAAAAAATGTGTGTGTGTGTGTGTGTTAGAGAGAGAGAGAGAGAGAGAGAGATGTTAAACAAGCATCCAACAAGCCTCTCTTATTGTGTGCCATGAGCACTGGCTTTTGGGGGTAGACTGCCTCTGAAAGTGGAGGCTTGTCTGATCAATTATGTCTAATCGCAGAATTTTTGCTGGGGAGGAAGGTGTTGCATATTTAAGTGCTTCCCCCACATAAGAAGAGCCCTGATGGATCAGACTGAAGTCCCATCTAGTCCAACATCCTGTTTCCTACAGGGCTCACCCAGCTTCCTCTAGGGCAATCTGCAAGCGGCACATGAAGGCATCAGACCTTGTTCCCCAGCAACAAATATTCAGGGACAGACTGCCTCTGAACAAGGAGGTTTCACATAACCACCATGGCCAGTAGCTTATCCTCCATGATGTAATCCAATTCAATACATTTCAGCAATGATATTATTATTAACTTTGCTATTACTACTGTTATTTATTTTGAGTTAATATTTAATATTTAATTTCATTTAATGCCACCTTTATCTTCCAAGGATCTTAAGGTGATGGACCTCACAAGGATCTACCCTGTGAGGTAGGGGAGGCTAAGAGACAGTGGCTGATTCCAAGGTCACAGCCAGGGAGCTCCATGGCTGAGTGGGGATTCGAACCCTGCTCTCCCAGGTCTAACCTTAATGCCACATTGGACCTAAGTGACAAAGTTAGGGCCATTAATTTCAATGGATCTACTCTGAGCAGGTCTAATATTGGATACAACCAGAAGTAGTAGTATTTTCTCAGCCCTTTAAAATCTGGCATTTCTAATAATCGGGTTTTGAAAGATTTTATTGTGGATTGTTGTGGCTTTTCCGTGTTTTCATTAGCTTGCAATCTGTCCTGGAAAAGGTTTTACCCGCCTTAAAAAAAAGTATGTGTTGGGACATAATATAAATACATAAAATAAACTGAGATACACAGAACTATATATGTGTGACAAGCTCCTTTCTATTCCTGTATGAATGACTAGCTCAAATCTCAGAAGCTCCTATCCTCCTGGTTGCCATCAAGTCCAAGCTGGACGAGGGGATTCCTGACCATAAACTATATTTCTTTCCAAACAAACAAAGATTGCATTCAAATGTCATTTCTCCATCAATCTCCTCCCAGCTGCCATTATGTCACAGCTAACCCCCCCCCCCGGCTTTTGGCAATGTCAGCACAGGGAATGGAATTGTTCAAAATTGGTTGGGTTGCTCCATACAGCTCCACACCCCCTAAGAAGAGCCTGGCTCCTGGATGAGGCCAAAGGAGGACAGTCTAGAACCAGCCTCCTGTCCCCATGGAATTGCTGGACGCAAAGGAATGGTGGGAGGTGCCAACTGGGGGAACCCCCAAGGGAAGAAGGCTCAGAGCCCGGGGATTGGTGGTGGGACAACGAAGAGTGGTCAGAGGGAGAAGACTGGGCTTAGTGAGCAGAGGGAGTCTGTGGCAGAGAGAAGTGCAGAAGCAAGAGAGGAGGGAGTCCAGGAGGCAGAGAGGAGTCAAGCTGGTGAAGAAGCCAGGGTGTCTCCCGCTCCTGCTGCGAAAAGCTCCTCTCCCCGCTGGTCTCCCAGAACCAGAAGAGGTATGAAGAGGGTGGAGCAGAGACAGGCACTGCAGCAGAGTCTCAGATTGCTTGGGGAAGGAGGGGGACTTAGGGAATTGTGGGAAGGCGGAGACCTTCAGTCTCCACAACTGCCTCATAGGGACAAGACCTACCCGTGAGAGTTGCTGTCCTCACTGGGCCTGGCACTTTGGAGCAGCCCATTTATTCTAATACAGTGGTACCTCGGGTTACATATGCTTCAGGTTACAGACTCTGCTAACCCAGAAATAGTGCTTCAGGTTAAGAACTTTGCTTCAGGATGAGAACAGAAATCGTGCTTCGGCAGCGCAGCAGCAGCAGGAGGCCCCCATTAGCTAAAGTGGTGCTTCAGGTTACGAACAGTTTCAGGTTAAGTACGGACCTCCGGAACGAATTAAATACTTAACCCGAGGTACCACTGTACAGTCATACCTCGGGTTAAATGTGCTTCAGGTTGAGCCCTTTTGGGTTGATGTCCATGGCGACCTGGAAGTAATGGAGCGCATTACTTCCGGGTTTCGCCGCTCGCGCATGCACAGACGGTCAAAATGATGTCACGCGCATGTGCAGAAGCGGCAAATTGCGGCACGTACTTGTGCAGAAGCGGCAAGTCGCAGCACGTGCAGACACGGGTTGTGTTCACTTCTGGATGCAAACAGGGCTCCGGAACGGATCCCGTTCGTATCCAGAGGTACCACTGTAAAAGAGATAACTTCCCTTACTCCGTGTGATTTATTGCTGAGCTGCTCCTGCGCAATGGGAAGCCTGCGACAGGGACGCGGACTTATAAAAAATATTGGGGGGGCCCGGGAAAGCTCATGAATAATAAATAAGCTCATGAATATGCAAATAAAGTGGCTCCGGCCCTAAATAGGGCAAGCCACGCCCCCCCAGCCAGCCAATCGGCTGGCTGGGAGGTGTGGCCAGTCGGGATTCCCCTGTTCTCGCGGGGGCCAGGAGGAAGGAAATTTCCCCCTGCAGTGCCTTGGCAGTGGCGGTGGTGCTGCGAAGCAGCGAGGCAGGAGCCCCCGCCCCCGGGGATTCCCTAATCTCGCGGGGGACGGCCAGGGCTCTCCGACTAGGGCGCGCGGCTGGCTGGCTGGCTGGCTGGCGAGGGAGCAGGTGGGGAGGAGGTGGGGGACGGCGGCGGCGCTCTGCTGGAAGGGCGCCCGAGATTATTGGGGGGGCTGAGCCCCCCCAAAAAATTTTTTGAGGGGGCTCGAGCCCCCTCAGGCCCCATGGAGTCGGCGCCTATGGCCTGCGACCAGGATCTGAGCACAATAGCAAAACTCTCCCCACTTGTGAATCCCAGCAACGGCTATGCAGAGGTTTCCAATGCTGGAGGCAGAATCCAGTCATCATACCTGTGCTCCCTGGGACTGTTTAAAACATCTGGAGGGCATCAGGTTGGGAAAGGCTGGCATGCGTCCTGGGCTTGCATTACTAGAAGAAGCTACTTTGAAGGGGGAAAAATCTACGAAGTTTCTAATTCAGGCAAATAGATTTAGAAAGCTCGTGCTATATTGTCCTATTTTGCATATATTTAGGCTCTAATATGTAAATGGTTGGGGACGCGGGTGGCGCTGTGGGTAAAAGCCTCAGCGCCTAGGGCTTGCCGATCGAAAGGTCGGCGGTTCGAATCCCCGCGGCGGGGTGCGCTCCCGTTGCTCGGTCCCAGCACCTGCCCACCTAGCAGTTCGAAAGCACCCCCGGGTGCAAGTAGATAAATAGGGACCGCTTACTGGCGGGAAGGTAAACGGCGTTTCCGTGTGCTGCGCTGGCTTGTCAGATGCAGCTTGTCACGCTGGCCACGTGACCCGGAAGTGTCTCCGGACAGCACTGGCCCCTGGCCTCTTGAGTGAGATGGGCGCACAACCCTAGAGTCTGTCAAGACTGGCCCGTACGGGCAGGGGTACCTTTACCTTTACTTTTATGTAAATGGCTTAAGACAGCTGTGCCAATCTATCCACAACAGTTACTGGCCCACAGATGTTCTTTGCTAGCCTGCCTGCCTGCACACACCCCTCTGTTAGTTGTTTGTATCCTGTCAACAGCCTCAGGGTCAACAAATAATCACATCTTCATGTGACCTGGCAATTTAGGGATTTTGTTTTTTTAAAAGCAGGCAATGACCAGCCTCCTACCCAGGATGAACAAGCACCACTGTCCTACATCTCAGAAAGCACGGAGTTGGTGCTTCTGAATGTGGAGAAATTAGAGGTGTTACGGAAAATCTGGATGCGTATTTACCCTGCCACCCAGCCAATCGGACCAAGTCCGTGGATTCTAGCGGAAGAAGAGGAAGCTCAGCCGGACGCAGGAGCAAAATACGAAGATCCAAGTTTATTGCGCAACAGGTTCAAAGTGGGATTGAACCCCGAGAATGGGGCGACATAAACTTTTAAAAGTTCCCTCCAAGTCCCAGAATACAGTGCACGAAACGTCATGAATACATTATGGGAAGGTTGGGTTTCACGGATTACATCATGAATATATTACACACGTCATGAATATCTCAGAGAAAGGTGGGGTTACACTAATTAACATTTGAGATAGGGGAGGGGGAAATATGTAGAGCGAGAGATACACACAGATAAACATTTATCAAGTACCGGTGGTGGCAGGACAAAGGGCCAGAGATATGCATCGTCTGCCACCTGGTATTGCCCGGAGGAAGGGTTATGCGAAGCGATCTGACAGGATTAAGAAGTTCCTGTGTACGTGCCCTGTCGCTCCGGGGATTATGGAAGTAGGGATCACATCATGGAGTCCAAAGGGAGCTGAGTTGAATGACACCAAGAGCAAAGAAATCGGAGTTATGGTTGATTTTATGTCAATTTCCAAAGGTTTCCTATGTTGTCTGACCTATTCCGTATTGGTGATCAAAAGCGGAAACAAAATGGACACATTGTAGCAAGAATGGATACATTTTGACAGTTTTACGAGGTCTCTGGTTTCGGATCCATTGTTCTCACAGTGGGGGGCCGTCAGCAGCTTGTCAGTAGGTTCAATGAGGCGTGCAAGGGCTCCCTGAGCTAGCTCCTGCAGGACGAATGCATGGCTGTGATTGGCTAAGACGCAGCCATAGGAATAAGCGGAGATACAGGAACGCCCGGTCTACTCGTTCTAAGTATGGAGCGCAAATAGCCATAGGAAGAGATAGGAGAATATGTTCATATATTCGAGCTTATTTCGCTCGTGGAAGAAAGAAGGAAAAGGGGGGTTACGGGAGACGTGTGGTGCTTGTGCAACGGTGAGGGGACTGAGGGTGGGTGTACTGTGGGCACCCTTGAGGTCATCGCCTCGGTTGTTCAAAGGAGAAGGGGAAAGGAGGTACCCCCCCCTTCCCGGTCCGTATCAGTGGTAACCACCGTATGTCAGGAAGAAGAGAGGAAAGCTTCCATATCGGAAGATGTTACAGCTAGGAAGATTTAAGCTCTTGCATCAGGGCAACTTCCAGAAGGTGGTGAAGGCAGGCTATTTAAAGCATGGGTAGGCAAACTAGGGGCTGGATCCGGCTCAATCACCTTCTAAATCTGGCCCGCGGATGGTCTGGGAATCAGCGCCTTTTTACATGAGTAGAATGTGTCCTTTTATTTAAAATGCACCTCTGGGTTATTTGTGGGGCATAGGAATTCATTCATTATTATTTTTTTCCAAAATATAGTCCGCCCGTCCGCCCCCAAGGTCTGAGGGACAGTGGACCGGCCCCCTGCTGAAAAAGTTTGCTGACCCCCGATTTAAAGGGTGCCCAGACCCATTGCACCCATATTATCACTTTTGCCCCCAGAAAGGTCAGAGGCACCAAGGAAGAATTGCGCCTTTGCACACCCCACCGCTGCTGGGTTTAAGGGGGCTTGTTGAGGATGCCATTTGCCCCATCCGCTGAAAGAGCCCAGGGTGGCAAACACGTCAATGCCAAACCAATGAAAACTGTGACAAACAAGTCAAGCAATCGTGGATAACATCATCCTAAAAACCCCTAAAAGCAGCACCCTAGTCTCGAAATGTAGTCAAGGGGTGTTTGTGAGTATCCTCTTTTCATTCTATAAATCATTGCACCTGCACTTCGCAGCCTTCATTTAAAGCCCAGAAGAAGTGATCGCCTTTCCAGCTCAGGCGACAGGAGGGGCAGCCAGGGAGGCTGGAAAAAAAATTTATTGGCAAGAAAAGCATACACAACAGCCTAGGCCCCTTGAAATGATAAGTTTAGCTCTGTAGGGGTGGGGGAATTCACTTCAGTTCCCTTATTGAGACAAAACTACCTTATTTACACTTTGCCTCGCTGAGATGGTCCAAAGGAAAGCAGGTTTAATTGTCGTAAGCTGCCCTGTGACTTTAAGGTGAAGACAACAACA